TAATACTTATCCTATTGATAATTGCTGTGCTTATTCAGTCTTTCAATTATCTCAAGGTTACAAACATATAAAATATTTGAGAAATTAAAGGAACAACTTGAGCCTTTAAATTCAGGCTTCGTATCTGGATTGCAAATGGTCTGCATCAAAATAATGCTAAATTTACATCAAAGGCATCAAGCTAGCAAAATATTTCTTCAGGTTGATAAAGTTTCTGGGATGGAAATATAACTGACTTCCAAGTGAGCAGCGTAGCATTTAATAACTGGCACTATGACTTCTGTAGCTTCTAGACTAGGCCAGTAGTTCTACCCCTGTCACTTGTGTTTGTCAGAATCCCCGAATTTCAGGCTAACTCCCCAAATTGCACTTGCCATCATGTACAACTCCCAGTCAGCTAGTGGCTATCTATTTTGCCTTCTGCAAAGCATGCTAGAAATCCAAGAATAACAGGGGAAAAATTAAGCAGCGATATATTTTCTGCATCATCATGCTACTGGCTGGAAACTTACATACACACATAGAAAGAGAGATAGCTGACCACAATAGGAATTTGAGGGGTATCCAAAATGAATAAAAAGTGAAGAAAGACTTTTACATTTTAATTTTGACCACTGTAGGCATTAGTGCTACAAATTAGTATTTTCTAGAGTGCAAAGAGTTTGGAAACCCATTATTTTTTAACCATAAAACAAATGATCAGTAGCATGGATAAAAAAGAATTTGTATTTACATATATTTAACAATTCTGCTTGATTTCAGTCACTGATCAGATTACCTTCATATGGTAAGAGTTCAATAAGTCTGCAATATTTTCTGTTGAAGGAGATTTCAGTGCTATCAGGTCACTCTCTAAGGCAGGTAGCTATTAAAAGTAAGATTTAATTAAAAGTAAACCAAAATGTACTTCTTGGATTATTACTGATATGGTAATAGTACTATATAGTATATATGTATGTAGACACACACCCCCAACTTTCAGACAGATCTTAAAGAGGTACCAAGCAAACAATACAAGGAGCTAGAGTTCACTTTTCAGTGTTGAACCATCTGGATTTAATTATGATCAGTAAAGAGTTCTGCTTCCCAAGCAAATCCCCAATGCAGCACTACAGCTACGGAAGGTAAAGCCAGCCTACAACAGTCTGAGAGGAAAGAGCAGCAGCCAGGCAACCATGCTATGCTCCAAATAGTATCTAACCAGCTCCACAATGACAGCCATGGGTCCTTACACAGAGAAGGAAAGCAGGTCATTGCTTCTCATTCTGTCCATGCAAGTTACTGGAATATGACAGCTTTGACTTTATCTATTATACTAATTTTTACACTTTCTTACAGCCACTGTAAGAAACAAATAGGATATCTCTTAAGGAGACTGATAAAGAACACATTAATGGGATGTTACCTAGATTAAAAACTTTGCAGTTGTATAAATAATCTCTAATTTGAGACACTTGTCTAAATTGTAGAATTTTTCAAGCAACTTCAATTACGCTCAGTAAATCATGCCCTTCAACAGTAGAACCATGAAGACAGCAACATTTGCTCCCTCTTCCAAGCAAAGCTGTCACTAGCTGGCAAGTGTTATAATGACAGCTTGAGAGTATCTTATGATCCCTGTTCACAGTGCATGGCCAGCTGATATAATTGCACCTCTGCCTACACTCAAGTTGGTAAAAGTATATTGGTGTGCTACACAACCCAAGCTTGTCATTATGGTTGTAGGCTGCGCCCTCGCTAGCACTAGTTAGCAGCTTACCTTTTCAGATTCTACAAAATGCGTAGCGATGCCAGCTTTTAGTACATCTCTTCCTTTCAGCCTAAACCCTGTTAGTGCAAGGTAATAGCCAATCTTTCCTGATAGTCTTGGCAAGAAATATCCTCCACCTACATCAGGAAAAAGACCTGTAATAACAAAACAAAACAAAAAAAGTGAAGGGAGAAGAACTTGCCCTAATCATGCATGTAACTTAGTAGCTATTTCTTCTTGTCTCACTTTCATCTCCTTGACAGGCACAGCTTTCTTGCCCAAGTTTCTCCTTGACTTGGTTTGTCATTTCTCTGTCATCAAAACCCTTCCTAAAAGCAAACTCTTGAACACCTTCCAAACTGTATCATTTCCACTGGCACATAATTTACAAACATATACCAGACAATAGTGTTCATTCTATTTGCCAACAACTTGAGACGTTTTTAGATGCCTGAAGAATCAAGCGTGCTCTCAGCAAATAACAGAAGTGACACAAAGAATTGTGAAATAATTTGTGCAAACTCAAACTGGATGCTGCTTTTTCTCTGAAATCTTTTATTACAATAAAAATATCAAATAATGATGAAGTGCCTCTTGCACAACTAAGTTTGAACAAATTTTGGGACTGAGAGAATTCATTAATAGATCAACAATATTGCCAGGGTCTTCCTGAAGGTGGAGGCACGAGATGCTGACCTAATACCTGGCTCTTTGACAGGACTATGACTAACCTGCAATTTTAAAAAAGCGATAAAACTTTTCAGTTTAGTGACTTTTTAAAAATCTACAGAGTAGGGTAATTTTTAAAGATTCAAAGCTGTGAATAAAATTTAAGAGACTTTTAAAAGTTGTAATTGAAATATATATAACTACTTTTATCAAAGATCAAAGTTTAAATATTTAAAATCATCACTTTGTCAACATCTACCTTATTGTTATATACATTAATCACCTACAAAATAAATTCAAACATTTTTTGTAACTTTTAACATATTTAAACTTAAAAAAACTTAAGCTTAGCTGTAATAACCTCAGAAATCAAAATGGAAAGAAGCAGTGTCCAGTTACTACTTCAAAATAATCACCAAAGGTGCATTCATGAACTGAAAGTCTTTTGAAGAAATTATAAGGTGTGGTGGTGTTTTTTTCACCTTGAGAGAATAAATGAAACATGCAAATAAATTTAAAAGAATACAAATGAGCAATAAGAAACTCAGAAAACACTTGCCAAAGCAGAGATATTAATGGGGAAGATTAAGATATATATATGTAGTTTAAATAGGGTTCTGATAGAAGGTGCCTTCTTGCCACCTGGTAGAAAGAGGGGACCTAAGTGATGGGGGAGAATGGCAACAGGTCCCTGCTCGGGGTGCCAGGCAAACCCCCGCCCGGCCTCCCTCACCTTCCCAGTTGCCCTTACACAACAGATATGGGGCCCTGGAACTTGAGGGCCAGGCAAACGAGGATGTAGACGAAGGTCCATCCAGGAGGTTGCCCAGGGTGAGGCAGTCAGCTCCACGCATTATGACTGCCTCTGCCAAGAAAAAAAGGAGGGTGATGTCATAGGCGCTTCCCTTCTGAGGGAACAGAGGGCCCTATATGCCGACCGGACCCATCCCACAGGGAAGTCTGCTGCCTCCCTGGGGCCCGGCTCAGAGACATCACTAGGAAGCTCCCTGGTCTGGTACGGTCTACTGACTACTACCCGCTGATGGTTATACAGGCTGGCAGTGATGAGGTTCCAGAGAGAAGTCCTGCAGAGATCAAAAGGGACTTCAAGGCACTGGGGTGACTGGTTGAAGGATCGGGAGCACGGGTAGTGCTTTCCTCAATCCCTGCAGTGGCAGGGAAGGATACTGGAAGGAACAGGAAAACACACCTGATCAACACGTGGCTCAGGGGCTGGTGCCATCAGAGGAATTTTGGCTTTTTTGATCAT